AATTCCCAGATAACTCATCTGTGCTTTCTCATTTTCCCTTCTCTCTACTCTGAAGTAGCAAACTATCAACTACGTGGCAGGCAATGGTGTGTTAAAAGTTCTGTAGTGGATTGGCCTTTGTACCCACTACATCCGTAGCTCCCAATACCAAATTCTCACTGTTGCTTAAGGCCAGATTTGCTGCTTCTCACACTGTTTATGTGACTCCTATAATGTTTCCTAACCTGTCTTCTCCCATGCAGTGGCATGGATTTGCATAGTCAGAGCTCAGTGAATGCTAGTTGAAGGATCACTGGTAAATGGATTATCAAATTACAGTTGGAAAACAAGTCATCTGTTTTTGATTTCTTTTCTCATTGTTAATTTGTTTTGGGGGGAGAGGATGAAACAGCATATAAGCAGAAACTAGTGGACAGCTTGCAGAAGTCAGTTCTTTCTACGGTGTGGGTTCCGGATATTAAATTTGGGTGTTTGGGTTTGGCACCAAGCGCCTATTCTTGATAAGTCATCTTGCTAGCCCTAAAGTCATCTTTTAAAAATATGTTATCTATAGTTATAATAAAATAATTTTAAAATATATTCCTATTTATAATTTACCATATGAACAAATGAAGCTATCAGAAATCTGGCTGGCCCCATCTTTTAGGGAGCAAAATATATACCGACATTTTGAAATGGTGAATGATTTAGCCTTTGTTCCCTCCTACAGTGAGAAGAATTAGTATCTTAGTGTCATATATGTTATGAAGCCTTCAGTTTCTCTAGTGAAGCTTCACAGGAATTACAAGGGATCTCTGAAAGGCTGGCTTCTTAGCTGATTCAAAAGCATATTGCTTAAGACTATAATGAGGATTTCTGGTTTGCTCCCATCTTGGTCGGTTAATTCTCATTTTGTCAGTTTCTCAGCTTACACTGGTATCGCTCTACTCTGAGATAGTTTCCCTGTTTCAGCTCAGAATGAAGAGGTTCTTGGATAAAGGACTTGTGAAAATCAGGTACAACAATAAAGTCACGGATGGTTCTTGGAATTTGTTAAAATGAAATGCTACATGTAAGTGCAATTTAAGTGTGGGGTCTTAGCCATGTAAGATCATTATCATAAAGTAATCATCCTGATTAAAAAATTCTAATTGAATCATTATTCTTTCCAAAGACTGGAATTCTAAGAATACTTCTCAGAAGCTCTCAAACTTAATATGGAGCAGGAAATATTGCAGAGTCCTCAAGAGTGAGAAATTGAAAAAAAAAAACCAAGTTGTACCATTTTTCATTATGCTGTTCAATCATCTCATTATTCATAACTACACGGTGCTTGTATGTGCTGAAGATATAGGCATAAGGGTGCACGTCTGTCAGCATATTGATATATAAAAAGAAGGAAAGTAAAAATAAAGTAAGCATACTCAGTAAGTGGGAGTCCGTGACTGAAACTTTAGAAACATATTCTTTTTTTGTTAAACAAATACAAGAAAACCATCTCTCTCTTCCCACCTCCACCCCATAACTAGGTAAAGGCAACCCTTAAATAGATTAGTAAAGTCAAATCTGTGGTTTCTTACATGGATTCCCTGGATATATCAACTGAAAAAATAAGGCTGAAATAAGCATATAATTTTGCAACTGTACCTTCAATGATGTGAGTCTCATATTAAATCTGATATTAACTTATCAGTTGAAAAATCCATCTCTAAATTTTTGATGGTTCAGATTTTAGTGAAGTCTGTAATAAGTATAAAATTGTAAAATACAGCATGAATTAGAAAAGAAGCAATGGATACTACAGAAGGGGGTGAAGACATTTAACAACTCAGCAACACAATGACTGGAAGGCCTATCAAGCTTCGTTTTCCACCTAACAGGCTAGCACAGCAGTTCTTAATCTGTGGGCCACGATCCCTTGCGGGTTGAATGATCCTTTCACAGGGGTCACCTAAGACCAGTGGTAAACACAGATGTTTACGTTATGATTCATATTCATAACAAAATTACAGTTATAAAGTATTAATGAAAATAATTTTATGGCTAGTGGGATCACCACAGCATGAAAAGCTGCTTTAAAGGGTCACAACATTAGGAAATAAATGCTCTAGTAAATGAAAGGTCCAATCATTAGAATGGGGTCATTTCCAAAGACGCCTCAGTTCTTGCCACTTCCTCTGGTTTTGGTCTTCTGTATTTGCATACTACAACCTATCTTGACATCAGTAGGCTATGTCATCAGTCAGGTTAGAATTTGCCACACTACAATAACAGACCTTAGTTACTTCTAACAAGATTAAGTCAGTTTTGTTTCTTCCTCTTCTTCTATGGCCATCACAAGCAGATTGGGTGTCTGTTCTCCATTACTCTCAGTTAAAGACCCTGGCTGAGGTGGGGCCTCTACCTTTGTTCTTTTACAATTGCCACAGCAAGAGAAAAGTGAGATGATCAATAGCACTGGGGCTATCAGAATTTCTCCTCCAACATGCTATTCATTACTTCTGATTATGTTAATTTGCTCACACCAATCTTCTGACCATTATAATGGGAGTCAAGAAGGGCAATCATATGCCTAGGATGGAGAAATTCCAGAGATTGTGCAATATGCATAACCATCCAGAAAAAAAATGGCAACTCTTCTAATTTTTTGTTCCAGCCTGATTTGAGTGGCGATGTCTTCTTTTTCTGATGGTAGTACTACATCAAGGTGATATATTGGTAGATAGACCATACCTTTCATAATAGCAATCAGGAGGCTGAAGCAGGAAGATCATGACTTAGTGCCTAGCATAGGCTGATGGTAAGGCTGTTGTCTCAAAAAACAAAGAGACTTATCTACTGGTAGGACTGGAAAAGTATCAGGGAACACTGAAAGAGACTTACTTACTTGTTGGATTAGAAGAGGATCAAGGAACACTGAAATAATCTGATTTACTGCTTTTTCTTTAATTTGTGGATTCATAGTTTGTTGTTTTTTCCACCAAGAGGGTTATATTTTGGTGGAGCACATAGCCCTAGATTCCATAAAACAATTATCAACCATCAGATCAATCAGCTACATGATGATAGGACACATAATGAAGTCATGGGGAAAGATCAAATTAAGTGAAAGATCAATGCAAATAGAATGGGAAAAATTATTTTCTTGGGGATGACATACTATTGGATAGACATGAAATGTTAAATTCAGAAAGAAAAGGAGAAGAAGGAAGGACAGACAGAATGAAAGAAGGAAGGAGTATTTCTAGTAAGAACTGTTCCTGCAGAGGACTCTAATTCAATTCCTAGTACCATGTCAGGCAGCTTACAATTGTTGGTAACTCTAGCTTCTGGGGATTTGGGATTTATAGGTCAGAGATATCCTTGGACACCTACATTCACATGCACGCACCTACACACAGCCACATAATTTTAAAAATGATAAGTTGTTTTTCCTGAATGTTTTATCACACAAAGAAGTGAACTAACACAAGTATGGAACACCCAGGCATGCTAGTAGCAATGGCAAGGATTTCTACAGGCAGTCGATCACTCAATAGTCTCAAATTAAATTTTAAGAAAAGGTTTAATATAAAGTTGATTATTGTCTTCTCCAGATCTGTGAAGAATTTTGATGGGAATTGCATTGAATCAGGTTTTTCTTCATGTCAATTTATTTTTTGTGCTCTGCTGGTTTGAGTATTAAAAAACAAATAAGCAAAAACTCCCCCCCCCAAAAAAGAAAAGGTTTAATATATGCATATTTGTAATGTTTATAAAATTACCAGATCCTAGCTACTACTTATTTATTGACTCAAGTTAACCTCATAACTTTATTTTATTAAGAAAGCCAATAAAAGGAAGAAAATAAAGTTTAAGTTAGTGAATATAGTGTTATCTTTCTAAAGTGGTTATGAATCTTGATTGGTTTTATTCCACTTAGCCATGTTCTCTCTTCCTCTAAAGGCAAAGAAAGCTTTCAGTGATGCCTACTTTTCAAGACTGTTTGTGGTGAGCACTGTACGACTAAGGAAGCTCTATACAACAGACATTGCTTATTCTCAACGTTAGCTGAAAGCCGGTGTTAAACCATAGCCCTGATTTAAACCACTGTATTGATTTTGTTGTCTACCGACAGATTTATAGGACTTACTCTTTTATATTAAAAGTTATGGTTCTGAGTGTGTTGAGCCTTAAATCTAAGCTCGTTAAAGATTCCATCACTTCCCGTGTGGTAGCCATAGTCTTTTCTTCATACTTTATCAACAGTGTGGGCTCTTTAATAATGTGGTAATTAAATGAATGTGGAAAAAGAGATAATTCATAGTTCACATACTCCACAACTTTAGGATGATAGCATTAAATTTTAATCTGATAATTCCATAAGGACAAAAATCAGGAAGCTTGTCTTAATGGTGTGTGTGCGTGTGTGTGTGTGTGTGTGTGGTATTAATATATTTGGGTAATGAGCCTTTAGATTAGTAAGTGTTGGAGGACCTTTTTTCACTACAGATGTATCTATAGTATGTGAAAAATGTCTTAGTCTGAGCAGTAATGAAGAAATGAGGAGTGGTCATCATTTTCCTGAAGCTTCTTTGGGGGTTCCCCACAGGTTGCCCCAGAAGAATCATGCAGAGACCACCACTTTCTCACTCCTGAGCATAGGTCCTAGGATGGAGAATATATGTGCATGCGTATGCATACTAACTAAGAGAGGCCCAGACTATCAGGATGTACGCATTGAAAACAACTGGGAAAGCGATAGGGTAAACTCTTCGTGAGTTGGTTTGACTAGGTGTTTATTTCAGTCTAGCGTATGATGGACTTTGGGAAATGCACTTGGCGGCTCACTGAGAAAAATACAAATTTTACGATTGGACAAGACTTCAGCTATGCCACACAAATGATGAATCTGCCTCGTGAGGAGCCGCAGAGAAAGGGAGCAGGGAAAGACCCACGACTTAATTTCTGGGTTTTATGCTCTGTTGCGCTATGATTTCTGGTTGCAACTCCAGTTTCCTTTTTCCTCTTTCTGCTTGCAGGCCCACAGCTCCGAAGATGGACGTTTGGCAAGCCATAATAGACTGCTCCTTTCCCAGGTAGCTCCTGCTTGTTCCTTTATCTGTGAATAGGAAATGGCTTAAAGGCACCTGGGTGATGAAGGTCCCGGGCAGCTGCCTGACTAGTGAATGCCTGATTATGTGTTAACATGCTTTGTCAGATATTGGCAGAATCTGTTCTCTTCTTTTGCCTTTTCAGCAAGGGCACCATTGACAGCCTGGCTACCCATTTATAGAAATGTTGTCCATCAAACTGTGAGGAAGGACAATAGTGTTTTTCTGTGGCCAGTGACTGTGGGAAACTTTTCTTTGGCTATTCAGGCAATTTTTGTAGCTTGCTCTGAAGAGGAGGGACCGATGAGTGCAAGAAGTACAATTAAGCCAAGCCAGACTCAATTGAAGGCTGTAGTGTAGTCTGCTGCTCTCAGTTTTTTCTTAGAGGGGGAAAAAAAAACCCTATGGGTTTTTCACGTTGCTGTGTGGCATTCAGCAGGGGGCTATTACAATCCTAAATTTTTTTTCTAGACCACCTAATTCTAAGTTAAAATTAAATGTAATGAGAGCCACTTGGAGCTCTGAATATTTTAAAGCATAATTCCCACAGAAGGGATTCGACCTAAACTGCAGTGAACATCAGTTGGCTAATTATAGCTGCATTTTATATTACAGCAGGTGTCAGATGCAGCCATCTCCATAAAGTCCACATAATACTCGGCGAAATAACAAAGACTTTTCTTTGAATGTGGGTACTAATTTCTGCTAGGTGTCATACGAGCCTTGATACTTCTTATTGGCATTAACAAGAGCACTGCCGCGCTCAGAAATGCTTTTTTGCTTGGGATGAATTGATACTGTAAAGCACTTACCAGGCAGACTTGGCAGATGTCAGTAGTTAATACTAGTGCTGCAGAGGTTGGAATATAATGCGAAGAGTCTTATGTAAATACTCTTAGATGATGGGCTGGCTTTGAGAAGGCGCCCGAGCACTGCAGCAACTCACTTAATGGCAGCTAAACAGATAGCAGTGGGGTATCTGCATTTACTTCGGCTTCTGCTTTATTGAAAGTCCTCCAGAAGTGAAGGGCAGATGGTAAGGCAATAAACTAGGTGAACAAAATACCCGGGATGGGGATAAGGGCTTGTTATATTCACAGCGATTTCCTTGAACTTGTGTGGGTGATTCGAATGACGGAAATGATAGCGAGTGCAGAAGCATGCCTGGAGATAAGGGCTCCTTGTCTTATTAAAAAAAAAAAAGAATTTAACTTAGAAAATATGCCTCCGTTGAAATACAACTGGATAATGGGGTAGGCAAGTGGATGTCACTTTAAATCACAACAATTGTTCCATACTGCTGCATTCTTCCAGGACAACGACAGTTTATCCAATCCATTGTAGTTATATTGGATCATTGTAGACGAGGTCAAAGTGAAGAATTTATTAAAGCACTATCTTATAAACTAGCATCTCTGACCCAATAAAGGACTCCTTGCATACATTCCCCTGTGAGATCCACACTGGGGTTTTTGGTTTTGCTTTTAAATCTGTTTCCAAGTTAGCAAAATAATAGCACCGTGTCCTTAGTTTTGATCTTTAGAAGCAGTGTTGGATTCTCATTTTGGCAGATTATAATTTATGTGCATCTCAGAGCAAACTCTGCAGGATGCTGGCAGCAATTAGCTCCAACATGGAGAAGCTTAACATGGATTCTCTGAGAACTTGTGGGAAGGAGGCACTGGTGGTTTTTGTTTATTTGTTTGTTTTGTTTTGTTTTTCCCTGAGACAGGGTTTCTCTGTGTAGCCTTGGCTGTCCTGGAACCCACTCCATAGACCAGGCTGGCTTTGAACTCAGAGATCTGCCTGCCTCTGCCTCCCAAGTGCTGGGTTTAAATGTGTGCACCACCACCACCCAGCTGGAACCAGGCAATGTTAACCCAGCAGGTGGTTAGTGCCTGTCCCCAGAATGCTGACAATCTAGTCAGAACAAAATCTCTTCACTCATGAAAGAAATCTTTGTTGAATACTTCTTTCCATTTTTGCTTTGGTTAGATATGACTATGATTCTCAAATTTTGTAAGATAAAATTATGAAATCTGTAGAGAATCAGGGAAAAATTATCTAGCACATTCTCTTAGTGACAACACCCAAATATCTGAAATGTTTCTATTATGAATAGTGATTTTTATTTATCTTTTCTTTCATAAATGTAACATTTTTAACAGAAAATTTAGGAAACATTGAACACCAGAGAAAGAAACTAATCTATATTTCTACTATGTAGGCTCAGAATACATTATTTATACTTTGGTGTAGGTCTTGTTTGTTCTTGCTCTATTAGGATGTATTCATGCATTTTAAATACTGAGAGTTATTATCTATAATCATCTTTTGAAGCAAACCTTATTATGTATTTAGAATATTTTTTAAAAACACATTCCTTCCTAATATAACTTACATATATTTCATAATTTTCATAATCATAAATGTCACAATATTCTATTACAAGGAAATATACATGGACACTTTATGCCACACTTTATGGCTCTCTATTCCTGTACACTTATTGCATTTTCAGTTTTTGCTACTATAAACTATGTTTAATAAACAGGTTACAGCTTAGAACATGTATGCTTCTTATTACTTGTAGCCCATGTACTACCATCCTTACATCAAAAGGCAAGTGCAATTTTATTAAAGCTATACATTTTTAATTATTTTTATTGGGGGAAAGTATGCACACACACCAACATGGGAGTGAGAGGGCAACTTGCAGAAGTGGGTTTTCCCTTCTGCCACATGGGTGGGCTCCATTATTGGTGGCAAACACCTTAATCCACTAACCAGCTCACAGCCCTAACCTATAGACTCTCAATACAATTTCCAGGAAGTATTGTAATTCTCTATTGCTTTTATTTGGAAGCGAGACTTAGTTTTAAATACTAAATTGTGAATAAGCCCAGTCTTTCAGACTGACCATGAAATTGATCAAATGATCAGTAAACAGGTGGTTTTTGTTGCTATGCAATTTTTGAGTTTAAATAGGATTTATGCAGTGAAATTCAGATATGTGGTACCTGACAGCGCAGTGTGCCAAGGGGGTCACTAGGAGATGGTGCTAGGTGAGCACACACACACAACATATGTGCACCACAATGGGGACCTCACAATCTTTAGAAGCTAAGGGCAAGCTTGTACCCCGCAGGAAATCTTACTGTGTTTCGTTATTTTCATTATATTGTTCAGCAAAAACATCTACCTGCTGTCTAGGAAGCAGCGCCATTTCTGCCTTCCCTAGCTGCTGTAAGCAGAAAATAAGGGAGGGACAGAAAACAGTAAGAAACACCATCTTCACTTGCATTCCTTTCTCGTGACCAGAGATTGCTGCACACACCCTGTACTTCTTTGCCTCTAATCAAGTAGCTATTCATAAACAAAGAATATAAAAAGTAGTGGGGAAAAATCCTTTTAGATTTTAATTATTTCTTTTCTAAGACTGAATCTCTTTAAACATCAATTTGTATGTTGGGTTTTGCTTTAAGCACTCAGGTCTCTCAGCAACTAAAATCCCAGGCCAGGAAGCTCCATTGATTTTACAGAGCCAACAAAATCACTTGACAGCCAGCAGAATCTGTATGCTGGAACATTTATAATACCTGTCATATAGTCCTGTAGAATTTCTGTCAAGGGTGGGTCACAGGAAATAGTACAATGCTAGAGAACTGTGTCTCATGAGTTCCTCATCTCATCATCAGAGCTTCTAATAGATTTTATTCCAAAAATCTCTGTTCCATCACTTTTTAAGATGCTTCCCACAATCCAAGATTCCTTTATTCTCTCTCAAGCCAATACAAGAAGACTCATAAGAAATAGAAAGGGACAGAGCCCACAATTTCTTTATTTTTTTTTTGGTCGAAAAACAGAAATATTTTGCTTTAATAGAAAAAAGTAGCACACTGTGATGGGCTTTAACTCTTTTCTAGGGTGGGCTTTATACCCATACTTGTTAGACCTGAAGGGGGAGAAACTCGCTGATTTTCTTGATCTTACATCTCACCCTCGAAGAGATGGAGACTTCCTGTGTCAGAATCCTTTTTAAGTATCTTGTCCCAGCTAGGTGGTGGTGGCACATACCTTTAATCCCAGAACTCTGGAGGCAGAGGCAGGCAGATCTCTCTGAGTTCGAGGCCAGCCTGGTCTACAGAGTGAATTCCAGGACAGCCAGAGCTACACAGAAAAACTTCGTCTTGGGGAAAAAAAAAGTAACTTGTCCTATTGGAATTTTCCATTCTATTGTTTAATACAGTCTTATTAAATCATGTGTTTCTTTATATAATAGACTCAAATTGAGATGGTCGCCTGGATTTGACAACCTATCTACAGCAACCTATCTTTTCTACCTGTCTCCTTGATTCTCGAGCAAGGCCAGTTTCTAGTGTTACAACTAAATAATCTAATCACACTCTTTTCTTACAAGCTATATAGAATATGGGCTATGTTGCTTTCATATAAACCCTGTGCTAATAAACATTCTAACTTTCTGATTGTCCGTCCTCAGAGGAAGCACTAGAGTTTAAAGTGAAAAGTTAGTCATGGGAACCTCTTCCCAGAGCTCTTGGCTGGGAACCAGAAAGCAGTAGTAACAGAGTTCACGCAAGACAGCTTATGAAGCATTTTAATTTTACCTTATTAACTGTTCATACTTTTAAGGGATTTTCATTGTATTCATTTAGGGTTAGTATGTGAACACTAATGTCAAGAGACAGCCTACATGAACCTGCTCTCTCCTTCCGCCATGTAGATTCCAGAGACTGAACTAGGTCCTCAGGCTTGGTGGCAGGTGCTTTTGCCTGCTGAGCCAATCTCATCAAACCTGTAAATTATACTTAGCTTTCATGTTAGTTTGTTCCGTTATCCATTTTATAACCATTTTTACTGGTGTTTTCCTATAGACAAAGGACAGTAGTAAGTGTGGTCAAGGAGTAGATGGAATAGCTTCCTCACCCTCAGGAGA